GATGACGGCTTGGATTAATTGTCTGGGATATTGGTTTCCTGTACCTTCCGTCGCCAAGCCTAACCCGAAGTTTTAGTATTGAGCACTGAGGCTAGGAAGAGCTGGATTGAAACATACTGTACTGCAAAATTACCCCACTGCTCTCCACCCCAGCCTTCTTCGCCTCATCTTTCAAAGTGTGCATATATTTGATCATTCCTTCGTTCGCCCCACCAAGCGAGTATCCACCACCATGGAAATAAAGGAAAAGCTTATGCTCTGGTGATGGCGGCTTTTCATCCCCAAAACACCACAATGCAGCTGCATCTTCCTCAAGCGAAGTAATTTGTGGCTCCTTTTTGTGGCTCTTGCACCACGCAAGGTACGAGTCACGAGTACCAGGGATGAAGCAGCTGTGAATAGTATACGCATCAGTAATGGTCGATGCCAGTCCTTGTACAAGTGAGGAACGATAGCACCCACGCAGCAGCAGTAAGCCCAACACTTGCTACAACATGAAATTCCGGTTGAGTCTGTACAGTGGTAGTAGGCATTTTCGCCCCCAAAATGCGTTTGACCGACACAACCGACACCCCCATCACCACTGGCCCGATCATCAGTTTATTTCTCTACCACCGTAATGTCACCGGACAGCGAGTGCCAGGTATACCTACTACTCAGCATAGCCCTCGCGAAAAAACCTATCTGTGCGAGCGTACCTCCTGTTCCAGGAGGTGATATTGGCGTCACTCCAGCTGGGGGTGGAGATTGTGTGACAATCGCTGGTGCCGTCATGGTCATGTTGATTATCCACTATTTATTCGGTGATCCGTCCAAGCGGCAGTTACAGCTGTAGTCCTGGGTATAAAAAAGATTGTAATGTGGGATGGATAGCTGAAGCAACTTATATTTTTAGCCGTTTCTTAGAGTCGGCATAAACTGCCGTCGTCCCAGTGCCGCCGTGCCGTGGAAACTATAGTAAAGTAATATTGTGGAACCAGGTTATATTAATTCCCGTATGTGATCGGCAAATTGCGAAACCTCAGGTGTCGAATTACGTAGCAATTTTACCTTCTGGCCTTTTATATAGGTGATTTCGTCACAATCACTCCACTGAATAATCCAAGGGGAGAAAACAGACTACTATATTCTCTAAAGAGGTATAAGCTTGCATTGATTCATTTGGAAGGGCAGTCGTGTTCAGGTTTAAAATATAATGACATTCTGGAAGCGGATTGTTGTGGCATTTAGAAACCGTGCATGTTTAGCCGGCATCGATACCAATAGCCATGCATGTATGCAGCTGTGAGAATATGCAACTCACGAGACACACCATAATGTACTCTCTACAGACTACATACTTGACATGTATGTAGAGGGAAGCCGATCGTGGCATAGTAGGTAAGCTACCTACTTAAGTAAACCTACTAAGGAAAAGTTCGGACCTTGAACCATGGCCACGTGCAGAGCAAACTGAGGCGTCTTGGCACGGAAATCTTCAGTCTCATGTTACATAGTCGGAAGATGCGGTTGCAAGTGCTGAGATGAGTCTATCAGGAGACTACAAGATATAATCTCGTGCCCAGACCCTCGTAGAGGACAAGATACAAAATATAGTCTGGTTGGCACAACAAGATAAACAGCTCAAAAACCCCGGCTGGAATGTGTGATAGGTAGTCTAGTTTTGTGATAGAGAATGTACGCCTGTAATATTGTCCTAGGGTATTGTGCCACGTAATACCTATTCACTTACTAAATCCGAATCCGGAAGTCTTTCTCAAATATTACCAGAAAGGGTAGTCCATGGGTCTTGGCACCCTTCAATGGAGTTTGAAGGCGACTTCACTTGAAAGTAAAATTACACTTCAGAGCATAGACAAATATTCGTGGGCAAGTCCCAAGTCCCTTAATTGGGATAGATAAGAAAAACTCGCAGCTATGCGCATGGCCTCATAAATGTTAGCCGCCGTGCATCGATAAGTAGCCATCTAGTAACTTACTTTAGCGAGTCCGCTACTAGCACCTTGCACATAAATCCATGCTTTCTTTCCTCTTAGCCGTGGAAGGGTTCGGGGCTGGCTTGGATGGTTGTTCCGAGGAGGAAGGAGGTGGCTGTGGAGCCGTGGCTGGGCGGAGGACCACACCCCACTGCGTAGGAGACACTGTTCTTGGTAGGGGGTGGAGGTCAAGGTATAATATCATCTTGTTGGCAGCTGTCGAAGTATGCCTCGACATAAGTCAGCGTGGCCAGGGAAGTCCAGCTGCTCTGCTAATAGCGGATTGCGGAGTGACTATTTTCAGCAGCTGATCCTGCTGTAGTCCGACTGATTTGGTTTGAGGCTAATGAAACTTAGGCCATGAGCTCGAGAAGTTGTGTTTTATAAGAAAATTAAAGGTATTGAGTCCGAAGATCAGAGCTTCCGAAGCTATGCATATTGCATTCCCGACGGAATCTTGGACGGAGCCTTGCAGCTGCATATAAAAGCTTATTAATGAAGTTTGTTCCGGCCCATAGGATGGCCCCATCACGACTTCAGGTTTCTTCTTGTAAGTTCAATATCTAGATTATCCTGTCCTATCATGGTTGCTAGATCAGAAGAATGATTGGTCCCACAAAAAAAAGCGTTTTCCCCACTCCATCTTCTTTAGGCATGAACGTCCTTGAAGGCTTTCAAACTCAATCATGCAGTGTCTACATGATTTTGGCATTTGATAGTTTGTCCTAACACAGCGGTTAGTCTGGCTGGCGAAGGTAAGTGCAACCAGACTACACAGCGGTGTAGCCCGAGGCTTAGTGGATACCATATCTATAAAGGGTGAGCATACTATGAAGGAATGAAGTACCTGCAAAGATATTTCATCAATACGGTTATGATGGGGGAAATGACAGCACTTGTCAGGTACATGTGGGAAACTTAACTGGAGGATCGATTATGCAAGGCATATTATAGGAATTTGTTTTAACATAGTTTCTTCGAGAAGCAATTGCGGGGTTTCTAATAACTCCACTACTTTTCTTAATCATAAATGTGCATATCGCGATTAAGCCGGAGTATATAGGTGCATTTATATTACGAGGGCTTCACTTTTTTTTTGTCCAATTTGTAATCCGATATACTACCAGATACAGTAGTCATGGTCTTGGCGCCTCTAGTTCTATTTAGCGCGCATTTAAAAGAGTTTTACACCAGACCCTCCTTTTCGTTAGTCTGGTTGGCACAACATCCTACGGACCGATTTATTTGGTGTGGTGCTTAAATCTTCGGAGGGTGTTGTGCCAACCAGACTAATAATAATTAATTAACGTTCAATATAATTTAGTTTATTTTCACAAGTGCTAACAGATAACACTTCATGGAGTAGTCTGGTTGCATGACCCCTCATGCAACCCGACTATTCATGGGCTACACAAACGTAGCTGTTGGAGTATAGCCCTTGTCAGCATGCATCGGTGAGATAAAGTCCGAATCGAGGACGTGAATTGGAACAACTCGCGCTCGCTGCTCCAAGCGCGTATAAAACCCTGTTTAACAGCCCCATAAACTGCCGTATACCATATGTACCAGCTGTAGTTCCTATAGTACAACTAGTCCGGCCGCGACACTGTGAAATAAGTAAACCAAGTCTCTTTCAAGAATCAAAGACTTCACCATTCATCCAGCCTCATGTAGTTGCAATTGGCCCTCATTCCTTTGAAGCTGCAGGCTTTTTTTCCCTCCTTTGCTGCATTAGTGGTGGGAAATTTTGGAGTTGGTAATTCACTGCCAGGGAGATGCTGTCCTTAGAGGGGGATGAAGTTCGAGTAATAGAACCATTCTGTTAGTATCAGCAGATCCTCAGCCTGCAAAGTTACATGGCAAGCTGACATCAAAGCCACAGAGAAAATTTAAGTGCTCCTGTGATATAGGTTTGAGTAGGTGGACTGTTTTGGGCTGCTGACCCTGCTATGGCCAGACTGATATGAACCTTAGGCTATGAGTCTGAGAAGTTTGGGTTTATAAGAAAGTTGAAAGCACCTGGAACGCAGACCATCGGTTCCTCCACAAGTCGATATTGAATTTCAGATCTAGATTTGAGTCGATGTATAATGCGCCTTCGACGGAATCTTGCATCTGCAGACATCATATTGCTTCTGAAGCATTGACGGGGCTGATATTATTTCGGCTCATTGAATAACTTGACCCTTCATGCGTATGCCTTAGGCTTTTTCCTGATATTCCTTGATGTATGCCAGCGCTCCTATGAGACAGGCAGGCATTCAGGTTATCACAATAGGAACTATGCTAGGTGTATGGTGGCACTGAAGCACATATGCTCGTTATTGGCCATTACTTCTACGGGTAGTAGGAATGGATTGCCTGAACTTATTTTATTGTAGAAGTCACTAAACAAGTTCCAACGAGATTGGGCCTAGGCAAAAAGGATCAAGACTTGCTCCTGCGAGGCTAGACTATACTTGACCTTCTTAAGAGATCGTCCCTTGAAGGCTTTCAAAGTTGAATTATGTAGTGTTGCCTCAGATAGACAAACTGTAATATTGTGTGAACCTGGTGTTGACGTTGGCATACATATCATATTAAGTTCCCAAGATCGACAGTACTTACTCTAGTACTATAAGAAGCTACTAAGTATATTACAAATTCCCCATATACCTGCACATGCAGTCAGGAATCCTTGAGCATACTTTGGTGAAGATGTGAAGGGTTACCTATATAATATATAGGTCTTGCCTGAGTATAAGCTTACAAGATGGCTGCATTAATTTTACGTACGAGGCTGAACATGTACATCAGAGGCACAGTTATTGTGACCATTCAGTGACACAACGAACACTTGACCTTTAAATTTGATAGCTCCGGAAGCCCTACAAAATCTATTCTCGTGCCCAGACAAAATCACGAGGGAAATAGTTGTTTACTATTACTTAGCGTTACCAGCAATAGTAGTGATCTGCGAAGTCTTGGCGGAGATGATGATTATGAGTTTATTTGCACTTGAGAACAAATCTACTAACAAGCACAGGATGGATGGCCGAGTGGTCTAAGGCGCTGTGTTCAGGTTGCATACGCATCGTGCATCGCAGTGGGAAACCGCGTGGGTTCGAATCCCACTCCATTCAATCAGATTTTTGACCTTTTTGCTTGGGCATAGCATCCTTTAGGCTCATGGAGCCTTAACTAGTAAGCAAGCTATTATCTACTTTCATATATCAACATCCAGGTCGAGACTAGCCAACAAACTTGTTCTTGTCTGTTAGTCAACACATTTTAAGCCGTTAAGGCCAGGCTCAGGGTAACACTGTTTGCTCTGCACCCATGACCATTCGGTAGATTCATACTACACATCTAGGGGAGCCAATGGGACATTGGGAGTATATTATACTCAATTGGCGTTGAGAAATGCTAATCAATGATTGCACTAAGCACTGACTCAGAGGCTGAAACCAGTAGTCTCGTGCCCAGACCCACAGAGGTGGGTCTGGGCACGAGACTAGAAACCAGGTAGTATTCCCTATCGTTGGTGAGGCTAAAAATACTTCTCAGGGTAACATAACAGTTAACACATTTACCCCAAATGATATAACATTATACCTATACAACATCAATACCTCAAGGATTACTGATATACTATGTATTGAGGTTTTCCATCATGCATATGTTCAGTCCAATCTAGACGCTAATCTACAAACTAGCTTTGCGAAAGTGGGGAAATTAAATGTGTTGCTGAGTTGCACCTGCAGGTACTCCACATTGCATACGTTGTCACTGGCCGCACAAGAGCGAAAGACGTGTTCATGACAGCTATTGACAGCCTCGCATGGTTGACGCGCTCCTCCTCTTGCCAAAACAAATATTGACAGCTATGAGTCTGCGGGCCTCTTGAGACGTGGCAAGTGTGGTTACTCGAGATGTGTGTAAGTTTGGTGCTACGGCGCGATAAAGGGTTTGAAAGGGAAGTTTGACGTTATTGTGTTGTTTATCTTGATAGTAATGAGATTTGTACGATGTTTTCCTTTTCAGAATGGGTAGGTGAACGTAGGACAGCAATCGTGAGCAACCCGGTTATCCTTGAGCCGTATTTGATTGGTGTCCAAGGGACTTCGTGTTCATAGCTCGCAGTTCAAATCGTTTAGCCTTCAAACAAGTGGGTAATGATGTGAGTAAATCTATGTACCTCATCTACGTACCCATAGCGAAGCTCCTTGATGATTTTCAGGGCAAAGTAACCGCGTGATCAAGGAGTCATCTCCAAGACCGTCAAATCCCTATAACGCCCTTCAAGTTCTACTTCAAGAGTGACATTTTGAAGGTCCCGTGTAGCATACAGAAGCCCTGATCATCAAAAGAAACGGCGAACAACAGCCGCAGCTCACTAGCGGAGCCCAGCCCAGATTGTTGTCCAGAAAAAAAATTGAATTATAACCCACCCCTAAAAAAAACGATAGCGAATGCCAGTTCAAGTGAGGTATAAGGTAATCAATGGCCTAAACTGCTGCGAATGCATGTAAATTCTCAGCTGCTATATCTCCGCGTTTCAATGATAGTCCAATGCTCGCATATGCAATGCCATGCAAGGTAGTTTGCCGCTCGTGTGCATTCCACAATAATAAGCGCTGTCGGAATCAGATCCGAGTCATGACCGCTGAAATATCCGTGTACATTCAAAGGCGTTGTCCGTTTATGTATATTGGAACCCTTATGGGACTAAAAAGGTGTGTTTATACTTTATCTATAAAAGTGGGTCATGAATGCGAATTGAAGCACAATGGGAAGTGGGTATAGTGTGTATCTCTAAATAAAATGAACAGTTTTTTTCCAGTGCGCCAATCAATCAAGCAAATAACTTATGTATCTTCCTAAGCTAGTAATATAATCTTACTTCCAGGCCTAGGCTCTATAAAACGCCAGTCCAAATTAGAACGTAGGGAAGCATATGTAATACTAATGGAGCTGTGGCAGGAAAGAGGCTCCTAGGAACTCAACATTGTATGAAATCAAGAGAAATTTGTCAAATCGGCAACAGGGAAAAGTGAAAATGCCGAGAATATGGGCGGCTAAGAAACTGCTGGGTATATTTTCCAACTCCAAGTGGTTGCAGCTCCAGCTGAGGACAAACCGTGCCAGTTCTTACATATTTGTACGAGCAAATGCAGTAACTATCATTTCTGCTTCAAGGAAAGTGATAAACCCTAATCCAAGGCGACGGGATTTTGGCAACTGTCACCTTCGGAGCCAGGCAGGCACGCTTGAATGTTGTCTTGGGCCCACTGCATTTGCTGCTGGAACTCGTAGGGTGGGATCAGCTGACGCCCAGTCAATGACATGTAGGACATGTGAATCCCGACCTGTTGAGATATCTGTGGGAAATGCCCTTGTGAATAAGCCACCAATTGCTGTCCATATATGGGACCCGTAGTGGATTGCAGCTGCTCCATACATAACCCCATCTGCCCCCCTGATTCAGAGAATAATTGCGGAGCATGAAGCTCCTGGCCACCAATATACTCCTCAATTGGAATGTTGAGATACTGGCAGAAGTACGCCTGCTCGTCGTAACCGTTCAAGAGATTATCATTGCCAGAGATCCCTTTGTCTTGATTACCAATCAAGAAGTTGTGTGTTGCAGCGGGCGTTGGATTTAGATGTATGGTATTATATATAGAATTAGCACTATCACCCGGATAAAGCTGCTTCGGCTGATAACATCGTGTAAATAGTGATAAATCTAACGGAGCTTGAAGAGTTTGTGCAATGTAATTTGAAGGGTGACGAGCTATGGGTGCAGGTGAGCTGGTGGCAGCGGACATTGGTATTAAGATGCCTGCTGGCCTATGATAGGTAGCTTGCTGAATAGCGCCAGACTGTTGTATGCTGCGAGAGGGTGATCTCCGCCTACTTTCAGAACCATGGGGTGGGGATATCGATGCCATTGAGGAAAATTGTGGCACGCTCGGTGACAGCATCTGCGGGGATGCTTTTGTCGGCATAGGTTCGGAGGAGCTAATATCTCCAATCGCAGTTCCCAGGCGGTCCACTGCCTCTAAACCTGCGGCATCTGTGTATGTGCCTTCAGTATTCGTGCTAGCTCCGATTCTGGTGTTAGGGCCACTTTTATGTTTCCTTAGTGTAGGCATTTCCTGGAATCGCCTCTTTTGGTCTCTTTGCCGACGCTCTTCACTGGACTCGTGCAAGCTCTTATGTGTCTTAGCCCTTTTCAACGGAGGGTTCTCAACAGCACCGGATGGATCTCCACTAGAGTCAACTGGAGTGGCGGCGATGGAGGATGGTAGAAGTGGCGCAGCCAAAGACAGCGCATTTTGGCAGTCTCTTACTAAGTTCGTAGCCGATGAATGAGCAGAAGAACGTGTATTGCGATGAAGTTTGGGAGCGTTCCCTATCAGTGGGATACTAGGAACGCCTTCGAGGTGATTGGCCTGGCTAATGCATAGATTGAGCTGAACCCGCTGACTTGGTGTTAGCGCTGCAAGGTTTGCTTTTTTAATCCTAAGTAGAAACTGTGTATGTATTTTAGAGATAGAGTTTACTGTTTTCTGAGAAGATGCCTTCGAATTCTGTTGATTCGAAGCCGGAGTAGTAGATCCAGATGCTGCTGATCCCTTTAATTTACTGCATGGTTAGTGATTCTTTTCTGACATCATACGATGGATTGGATAGTGTACTCTTCCAGACTCCTTCAAACTGGGATTCCAATTACTGGGTCCTGCCCGGCCAATGCCAACTGGGGATGGTCTCCCTCTCAATGAATTCTGCTCTATGGGGTCTACAGTAAGGGGTTCTGGAAGTGTTGTGAGGCCAGCTCCAGCTTCACAATATGTGCTTGGTATAGCTCTTCCCTTGCCTTTGTCTTTGCCCCCTCGCTTTGCCTCAGCACTGTCCTCTGAAATTTTTCTTTTTCTACTGGAGGTGGCTCCACTCGAGTTTACTGGGGCTGGATTGAGAGCATTGGGTAGAGAAGGCAGCTCACTCTGGAGTACTGAGGTTTCCGGCAAAAAAAATGGCGCGGATTGTGGACTATTAGCTGTGACGGAGGAGGATGGCTGAGTGCTCGGTGCAGGAGCAGGAAGGAGTCTGCGTTGGCCCGAGATCTTTTTGGGGGGCCCTATCTTATCCAAAATCTTCCTTCTTTCGCTTTCTTCCACAAGAGAGCAAACCTTGTCGAAGAAAGAGCGTGATACATGTAGGGTCCATGATGTAGAGAGGCCGATGAATTGAGAGTCGTTTGTATTAGCAGCTATGACTTCTCTGACCCCCATAATTGCTTGCTGATAATTCTGAGGTTCCTTGCTTCGGTTTCCTAAACCCAACCACCAGCTGGCTCGGTCAACAACCCCCTCTAGAATCTTTCCCTTCCCTTCCCAGGTGATCTGTATTTCCGTGAGGCCTTCGACATTGAATGCGCTTCCAAACTCCTCTAATAGTCGTTGATATGGAAGTTCCTGTGACATGCTGTGTAGCAGGTTATGAAACGGGAACTGAGTTCGTGAATGTTGCTGGTGATTTGTACCCGTCAACTTAGAATCGATAGGGTCTGACTGTAACAGGCGGCTCTTGATGAACTGGGTAGGTGCAAGAGTAGAGAATAGAAGTGGCAGTCGGAAAGGGGATGAACCTGCGGAATTTGAATGGCCACCAGGGCGATATTTATGATGTAGACGTTTCTGAACACCCATAAAACGGAAAGGATATATGTAAATAAACCATCGTTTGTCCGTCCAATCAGATGTACACGATAGAGTGCCAGGTGGTAGGGAGGCAAGCAGCCTTGAGACAGAAACCAGAGGTCGTACAACTGAGCCCCATATATGTCAGGCCATGGAGTCCATGAGCATGGAATTACGTACCGTCGACACAGGTGTGACATTGTAGGTCCGGCTGCACGACAATGGAGGGTTCTCAGTGCCCCTCTTCCTCCTGTCTTCGTGGGTGAGTAGTATAGGGCATAAGATTCATATGCCAGCGCAGGCCAATGTGCCTACCACGGTAGTCCGAATGCACTCGCCACGGTTACAATACCGAGCAACCTAGTTCTCACTCTCCATACCCCCCAAACACTTAGATATAGGACATTGAATAACTCACCAGCGAGGCTTCTACATGC